TACAAATATTAAAGTCTGACATTATAAAATATAACCTGTATACTAGACCAAAATGTAAGATGATAATTCTTCATCCAGACATAAACAAAATAAGAAATAATAAGAAAACTATCAATCTACATGTTTATTGACGTTTTCTTTTTATCTTTTGATTCATGTCAATGTTTGAGAATGTTTGCATAAACTCATACATTATTAATACAGAAATGAAAACAAGGTTCATGCTAAATTATTTTACAAAGCAATACAAACAAATATGTTTGACTGTAATAATACAGATTTGCAAATTTCACTATGTTCTTAATATAAATGTATATATTTTTCTTATAGTACAAAATGATCACACTTGGACTGGGAGACTGAAAATAAAACCTCAAAGGTTTTAACTAGAATTATTTTACTTAATGAAAACACAGCTATTGTGTATCAGACAGTTAATCATATTTGTCAAAATTAAAAAAAAAATGGAAAGTTTAGTGTCAAAAGGCACTTGGAGAAAATTAGGCTTATTGTATAAGTGGGTTCTAAAGGACAAACTAAAACCTCCCATTATAATAAGGGCATCAATTCTGGATGAACATATGCTGTAATCAATGAGGGAACAAGAAACACTTAGGTCAGTGCCCTCAGGGTAACAAGAGCACATGTTTTTAAAAAAGTCCATCTCTTGGGCAAACTCCTAATTAAAGTGAAATAGGGGTTAAGAATGTTTCTGCTGTACTATAAAACCAGTACAACAGAAGAAAAGTCATTCTCTCCCCTGATGCCATTATTCCACACTCTGCTGGAAGGCATTCGCTGAGGTAATTAACTTTGCTGACATGTCGTGAATTCTCTCCTCTCAGACTGAATGCTGGATGCACAGATTGACTGATTGAAAAAGTCCTATTTAGGTTTCAATCTTTAAATTATCCATGCCCAACTATATTTCTACAGTAATATTGCTGATAATCGCACTAATTTTACACTTGGCAGGAGATAATAGCTGTGGCTTATCCTCAGCAACAAGCACTAATTGCCATCCTCATTCTTTTTGTCATGGAAAATAAAATACCTGCTGTAGCCCACTTGAAGATGGAAAAACACAAAAATAATTAAGAATGCCTGCAAGGTTAAATGGGACCTAAATGCCTTCAACACAGCAGTACACAATGTGAAAATGTCACCGTGCTGCAGCTAGAAACTGATCGTGTTTACATTTAATGTACAGCACAATTAATGCATTATTACAGCCCCAGTTGACATTAGTCATGAGCATGGATTTCAGGGTGAAACATTTTTTTGTAACCTTCAGAATGAGTTGTAAACTGATGTCATACCAAAGTTTCCAGTGAAGAGAAAAAGATTCTGGGTGCACACACTGGTCTTCAGATAAAACGACAACACTTGGTTCAACACAGGTTCAGTCAGTTAAAGTGCGTTGACGTGGGCATGAGCAACTGACTTCAGATGAGGAACATTCTAGGAGACCTGACTTAGAGATGACTAAAGACAGAACATGAGTTTTCCAAAGATTTTCAAAGTTAAATCATGTTGTTGATGCTACTTATGATCATTTTTTCAGCACTATCTATTCAACATTTTTTATTTTTTAGTATATTACTTGTGTGGTGTAGAAGATAATTATTTATGTAGAGATACTGCTTGCAAACCAATGATGGTAAGATGATGTCATGGGGTAGGACTGGATAAGTCTGACTTCTTCCTATTCCATTCAAGCATGTACTAGGTATAAGCAAATTGATATTGGATTAGCATTTGTTGGATATGTGTAAAATTATGTGTGTCGATATATCAACTGTCTTTACATGCTTGAAAGAATAAATCAAATCAATCAATCAAAAAAAACATTTCTACATTCTGTAATTTCCTCTCTAGTTAATTGGTTTTCATTGTTCTGGCAGGGCTGACCGTTCCCACCATTCAAATTGCTTTCACATGTATAACGGATTCACAGGAAATGATGCATGAATGTAATCCAGTGTTACTTTTTGCATTCTTATGAGCTATCAGCCTCACGGTTTACTGCTCACACTTCTAATGCTGCATCAGACCTGTATCAAGTTAATGCTACTGGACAGGTGCTGCCATGTTAATGTGAATAATCTTATGAATTATAAAGTTAAAAGTTACAAATCATAGTTTATTTTAAGCATACAAAACTTATTGATACTCTATGAGGTAATGGTGTTTATAGATGGTAAAATGTAAGAACTGATAACTGACTGTCATCTCAAATCAGTTATGACAGTTAACATATAGGATTTCCACCCATGTACAGTATTGTATCTATTCTGCACAACGTCTATATAAAGCTGATATCAAATTGTTAGTGTGTCACTGCTTGAATAGAAAGCTTAGAACTAATGTCACAGGATGAAGAATAAAATAAAGATTTTCATTGAAAAATATCACTCCACATACAGTCACGGTAGCAGGAGGTGCTGCCCAAATACAAGTGCATACCAAGCAGCAACCTCTGAGGCTGAGAAATGATGCCTATGCAAAAGTACCAAAACCTGCAGTTTGTTAAATGGCCACTTGAGGCTGGCTCCAACAGGGAGTCAGTCCTTATAAACTCCCATGTTAAATTGCCCTGCTTTAGTCTATATAATTAATTTCCCCTTCCACGTCCACTGGAACTTGCACGTTTAAATTATATTGAGACTAAAAGTTACTCATAAAAAAGGACGTGGCCACTTTAAGTGACAAGTGGGAGGGTCCCACCATAGGTGGCTAGCCACTAGTTGTCTAGAGAGCTCCACTCACGCTCGCCTCTTTGCACATTTTTGGATTAGACTTCAAAGGTGCAGTGAAGCACTACCAATATGGCAACAGCCATACTTCAAAACTGCTCTTCAGAAAACCAATGGGTGACATCATGGCGGGTTTGCCTAGTTTTCATATACAGTCAATGGTGCACACACTACTGATAAATTCATATAATGTATGCACAATGAAAATGCTACGAGTGTTCGCCACTGTTGAAGTGGCTGCACTTATACACGCACTCATTTCAGCTCTGTGTTTTCTCTCAGCATTGTGAAAAATCTACAGCACAGCCAGAAACAAGAAATATGTTTGTCACACCCCATAAACTCTGAGGTCAAAGCGATATAAAAGTCTAAATAAATGAAATTGCTGAAGATTAAAAAAGATGACCGTGACATTATCCCCAATCATTTTCACAGGATCAGGGTTGTCTTGTGGTGCAGTACTAATACCATTAGTATAATTGGAAGCTGGTTCAGATGCAAGACTAGTATTTTATCAGTCAAAACAGTCAGCTGTGCACTCAGTGTCAACAGAATAGAATGGAGCTGTATATCTGAACACCATCACAGATTGTTCCTCTGGTTTACACTATTCACTGTTGTTATCTAGAAAAAAGCTGCAGATAAACTATTAATAATATTTACTGACAAATGCCAGATATTTACTTGCTGTTACAAATGTATTAGAAACAGAGTGAAGCTGTGAAATTATATCAAATGAATACATGTTTAATCTTTGAGAAAGAAGTGGTTATTTAAGTCTGATTTATGAGTGCTGCCATTATTTTATGTAAATACTTTAATGCAATCCAACAGGAGAACACCACAAACTGGAGCCTGGGCTTATTACTGGCATTTTTATTTTATTAGGGACCCAGAAAACCAATTTTTCTATTAGGTTCTTACTATAACTATTGCTAACCTACAGTACATAAACACATTATTTTCATTATTTCATTAATTATTTCACATTATTACAGCCAAAATTACAAAGTCTTAGCTAATTTACAAGAAAGATTTGTTTCTTTTTTCTCTGTGCTCTGGTTTAAAATGGGTGGAGGTCTGTTGGGAAACTGTAATGTCACACATTTGGACCAATCAGAATTATGCAATGTTTTAAGGTAGGTAGGTAGGTAGGTACTTTATTGATCCCTCAATGGGGAAATTTCAGTGTTTCAGCAGTATTTGATCAGTATTTGATGATAGTTGGTGGGGTTTTTTTTATTTTTGACACTCAAATCTAAACAAGCCACACCCATACAGTCCTAATGAAATAAGGTTTCTTAATTTTTTAATTTTTATAACCATTAACTAAATAACTTTTTTCTTATAAGGTGCATTGACTAAGATTTTACACATTGTCTGATAACTGTAATGAAAATGAGACAGGACGTGGTGCCTCTCTGCTATACAATGGCTCTCTGTGACACTCTGCCTACAGCACTTCTATTGTTACTCCAGCTTTTCTAAACTGTCCTGTCAAAGACCAGTCCATAAATTAGTCCCGCCTGCCACCTAGTAAATGTTCTATTATGCAATGTTTTGACCACAAGTAGTCCTTTCGTACAGCCAGCCATGGAGGAGTTCTTATCAACTAAAAGACCAAAACAGTGGCAGCCAGACTGAAGTGGTCACATTCTTTGGAGAAAGAAAGAAACAGGGTTAACATCGGTTTGGCTTTTTGAGATGGTTTCATTACACATTAAGGTTTGATTCAGGTGTGGTGTTTTTCCTTCTGGATGCATTAGCTTCTAAAGCTAATGTTTATTTTGGTAACATTGGTGACCTAGCATGGTCATGAGTTTACCTTTGTATGGAATTAATATGAGTTTCATTTGGGAATGATTTGAGCTTTGTCTAGTGTTTGTGCTTTGTGTTAGAAGTAACCCGAGCGTCCTACTGGACTGACAAATTTACTTGTTAGTCAACTAATGCTAGCATTAGACTGGAGACTGCCTTTTGCACAATTTGTTGCAACCAGGCAAAAAATTTAGGCAGTGTAGATTTAATGTTGTAGAGAAATACTGGTTTAGGTTTTCAGGGGCTTTAAAAAAATCTAAAAATTATTGTTTTAAATGTGTTTTAAATAAAAAAGCATGAAAGTCTTTAACAAAATAATACAAAAGTGGGGTGAGATTTAGCTTATTAAAATTTCTTTGCAGCTCAGACTTTCTCTTTAAGTTTATAGAAGGATTCCAGTGCATAAGCAGACACATATTTGCTTTGTATTTCAATTTTATTATGGACTTATATGCATCTATTAATATAAAAGATTTTTTTAGCTGTCAGTGTCAAAAAACATACAGTGCTTTACTTCAGCAAGCTCCCCCTTCTTGCAGCAGAGGCTTTGAATGCATTGAAAGACAGTTGAATTTCACTGAAATCTATTCAGCTACTCTGCTACAGTAAAAGTACATCTGTTTTTTTGTTTTTTTTTTTGTAAAAATTTCTCAAAAACAAGTCTTAAAGAGTCTTAAATTCATTCAGTATAGAATCTGAAAATTATCTATATTGACTGTGTTTGCTGTGGCAGACATCTTAATATTGCTAAAATCTCACAGTCTGGGAAAATTTTATGATGACATTCAGTCAGAAAGATTCTGGTGAGCATCATGAGCACCATATGGTTATACTTGTCATTGGGTAAATGACATTTTCTTGCATTACACTTTGCAAATAATTCATTCACTTCTTAATGGACACTGTAAAAAGTGCTTACTTTAAAGCTAATCCCCCTAAGTACACACAATAACTGAGAATGGTAGCAATATAACAATCAGGTTTATGAGCCCTTGCTGTTGTTCACAGCTCTTTGTGAACAGGTTTCCTTTGTTAGGTTTTCTTCCATTGTGCTGTTGTGCTCTGTTGGTACTGTTTATCCACATTTTTCTGTAGTTAATGTTATGTTTTTCCATTTTCTGCAAGAATATTTCATGACTGAATTCTCAATAGCACTCAACATACCATATATTGTAGTTCCCCAGAGAATTCTGCTATTCAGGTTTTAGACTTGAATGTCAAACACAGGTCAAATTATTTATTTTAAAGTATTAGACCTGGTATACAGAAGTGATATTCTTACATATCCTTCTTTTGCTTGATGTAATGGAAACAGAATTTATAGTTATGATTTAAAAAAAATTTTGGCAAAAACATAGTGCTGACTACAAATCCCCTGAGCAGCAGTATGGGGTTTGATCACTTATGGACTTGAGGTACACTGGGCGTACACCAGAAAATGAAAATGTTCTACACAAGTGAAACATTGATTTGTAGTAAATGAAGCCTCTATGAGAGAATTTCAATTATAGGATGGATACCCTGCAATGCTCTGGTACACTGTGGAGTTCTGAGTTAATTATGTGGTTGACTAATGTGAAAGCCTTGAGCTAGAGCAGTAAGCAAAATGTACATTTTCTTTATCCTCCTTTGTTCATGAAGAAAAGAGAGCATGAGGCTTAAACATGTTTCTCCCAGTAGGTTTAGGGCTATGGTGGCAGGCTTGTGCTGTAAAAGATGCAGCGTTGATCCTCCAGAGCAAACAAGAACAATCCTCATATACACTGGCATGTAGGGTTTGGTGCTGCCATATTTCCAATAATGCAATAAACTGTGTTCCACTGTAATACAAAACTCTTCACACAAGTGCCCAGTCATACCAGAAAGTAGCAGAGCTAAATTCATTTGCACTGTCTTGTCAAATAGCTGGTAGATGGAGCTCAGTTAACAGTGCAGTAGGTTTTAGCTAGTTTTGTTTGTGGCACAATGGATGCAACAGAAAGCTCCATTAGAGTTGCTTCTCATTCAGTAAAGCAGGGTTATATTACAGTGAATACAGAGCTGCTACTGGACATTTTGGTGCTAGAGGTGAGACATCCACTGGTGCCCCTGAGGGGACTGCTTTTCCCATTAAAATAATGATAGTTGTAATAATTTTATGATATATGATTTTATTCAATTTCACTCAACTTCTGTTCTGTCATGCCATCAACATCAATTGTTGTTTACTTTTACAATCTGACTTTCTCTTATGGCTGTCCTGGCCACATTTTATGATCCAATGCTTACTTTAATGGAAAGCATGAAGCACCACACCAGGATCCCACTGAAATTAATAGATTCTGGTTTGAATGTTTATTGATATAAATACTGATATGACTGAACCCTCAAAAATATGAAATTGCATAACAGTGCTGCTACAATATTTGATGGAGTTATTGCCATGTCTTAGAAGGATGTGTTGATGCACCTTACATCAGCTTAAGCATTTAATCACTCAACTGTTATCCCCCAGGTGTCAATGTGAATAACCGAGTATGAAGCAGGTGTTACTGGGGGGAAAAGCAGTAATGATTCAGTGAATTGGCCCTTGAAAATTAATTAAAGCTAAATTTTAAAAAGCTAATTTACATACAGTATATAAAAATAAACAAGGAAAACTCCAACCAGGTGACATGACCCTTTTTCTTTACAAATTAGAGACTGTGTGTCGCTAAACAAAGAGACAGCTTGATAAGAAATCAAGGCTTTCATCCTTACTGAGTACAGAAAAACAGTAACAGTGTAGCAGGAAAACCTTTTATATTCTGTTTATCTTCCTCATTTATTGGCATTTTATAAATGTCTCTTTCAGGAAACTCTAAGGTGACTGATGATATTTAAAAACATTAATCACTCACAGCCTAAACCAGTCACTTGATGATGACTGAGATCGTTTTGCCCCATGTGTGGCCACCGAGTCATCCCTGAATGATGAATGTGTATCAAACTACACCACAGAACAGAGTGGATCCATCAGCTCAGTGAAATGCTTTGATGTCAGCAGACCGGTAGGCTGTCTCTTAGTACAATGAAAGCATGATAATGACAGGTCACAGAAAAGCACCTACATTTTAAAGCTCTGCATAAGTGTAAAGATAATTTGGTATCTCCATTAATTTTAGACCTGTAAGAAATGACGGTCAAAGAGACCAAGCAAAATATGCTCAAGAAGCCATTGAGTATTTTTGCTCTTTATACAGAAGGTTTGAAAAAGAGAAACAGACCGATCAGGCAAATGCTCACTTTCTGCCACATGCACCTTTTGTTGATAAGAGTCCATAAGTGAAAGGACACACCAGCTGAAATGAGCCGAAGGCTGGTGCTGTCAGAACATCACAGTGTCTGGTTCTGGCTCAGCAAAGCAACTGCTCTGATGCCCTGAGAGCAAAGAGAGCTCATTGCAATTTTTCAGTGCCTTAGTGGAGCATTGCATGTTAGGAAGGCTACAACATGGAGCAGGCTTCAGCAGATTCATTGAAGGAAGCAGGCCTGTGGGTAAAAAGAAACTTATGAAATTATCTTTGCATTTTCCTGATATTTTACTTCAAATGCTATTTCAGTACATGGCTGTGCCCCAGTGGGTTCGTCTCCTCCATCCCGAACTCCCACAGATATGAAACTGTGGAAACGCAGGTCAGCTTGCGAGTTAATTCAGTGGAGCATGAAAACATGTCTGACTTTTCTCTTAATTTGTTTCCGAAAATTCAGTAACAAATCACTGCTAAGCATGCCAGTAAGGGTCGGTAAATGCCACTCTCTAGAGCATATGCTACACTGCAATTGCAAGTCACTGAATGCAAGTTTATAGGTCTTGTATAAAAAATAAAAAAATGTAAAAAATGGCAATATACACAAGGCCATTGGTTTGAAAATACATTTGTGCAAGTAGGGAACACTATAAAACCTATAAATCACAGCAAATTGAACAGTAGAGACAAAATATGTTTACTATACTGTACATAATCAGTCATCAAAAAGTGAACTCTGTATACTGTACTTCTCAGGAAGTATCGAGTGCTTAAAATCACTCACTGGTGTAAGACAAACCTTACAGCTGCCACAATTTGTGCACAGCATGTACAGCATGCACATGCAATCAAGTGGCAATGTCCTCTGGCCATTGTAGTAATTATTGTTATCACAGAGTGACAAGGTCTGTGTCGGGAGGGGGCCAGTATGGATAGACAGGTCAACAAAATGAGCAGCTGACTTCTTTTTCCAACCATGACCCCCATAATATAAACTGTGATTAGTGTTGTAACCATGATGATAAAGGTCCCCTAAGCTTAAGAAACCTTAATTAAGTACTTTGTAAAAACTAAAGCATGAAGACTTAATAGTAGATGTTAGTTTTAAATAGAGATTTACAACAGCTGTCGACAGAGGCGTCAGATTAGTGCTTTTAAAAATCAGTTACAAACAACATTTTTTTCCTTTAAATGGGAGGACTTGTTGTAGTATTAGGAAAGGAGGTGTACTTTCTTTGTAGGATTACAAAGATAAAAATAACTATTTTTTATTGACTACTCTAACAACACAAACTCAAAAATGAAATGTTGATTTATTTTCAAGTGCTTTCTCAAGCAGAAAATAAATGACCAAAATACACTGGGTTATTCTGGTTTTTCCTATCCCACCTCTACACACAGTATGTGCACCCATTCATTAAAACCCTTCAAAAATCACAGTCGTGCCACAGTAGAGAACAAAGAACAACCAAAAAATTGTGTTGTTCTTGAATTCTCTTCCACCAACTGTTTTAAATTACTGGTAAATTTTAATGATTTTCAGATGTGGTGTGAACACAAAAACAGGAATGTGCAAGAAACTTTTAGGTCCCAGAACTATTTGATAAAAAGGAGCTAATATTGCCACTCCCCCATACAGATGAGGACATAATTGATGCTAATTGTTGAAGGGTACCATGTCAAGATAGCACAGTTGCAGATGCTGAGGAATGGAGGTTATTACTAACTGGTTATTCAGATAGCACAGGTAACTGATGCTGAGGAATGGAGGTTATTACTAACTGGTTATTCACATGCTAACTGTCATAGCTAATTTAGTTTGCACACTGATGCTCATATGAGAGTTGCTGAGTGACATTTTTCTCTCTCCTATACACAACTAATGGGCAGATTGGAAAGTTTCACAAGCCTATTATAACATTATTTATTTAATTTTGGTATCATTATATTTCTCAACTTCTTTTTGAAGGTGAGAAATACAACTTGCCTTCATCAGGTGATGCCCCAGTGACCTGCCGTATCCTTGCACACTAGAGAGCATGGTATTCCCACAGCTTAAATGGTGAGGATTTGTCTACTGAAGTGAAGAAAATATTTGGATGAACTGTGAAAAATCTTCAACTTAAAATTCCACAGCATATGATTTTTGGTTTGGCACTGCATCACACTGCATTCAAAAAATACCATATATTTATCCATCAGGGTTTGTACCAAAATGTGAATTGCATATTATTAAGAAAATTAATCTCCTCACCATCGTGGTCTCCAGGCTGTGAGCAGATATCAGCAGCATCCCACTCATAATTCTCATCAACAGAGACTTTTCTCCTAAAGAAGTCAGGAAACATCACTTACATCACAAATGTAAACACACACACACTCAACAATATCTGCAAAGGTCAACGCACTCCCAATGAACTACAGAATACTTCAAGCCCATTCGGGACTCTTCTCCAATTTGCTTTTTTCTTCTAATCAAACATTTTCTATGTTGTTCAATACTTTTCAACACAAAGCAGATGTTCTGAAGATATTTTTGCTAACATCCTACCAAGACATTTTATGTTAGTAATGCTTGTTGCTCATTTACACAACAGTAAAGACACAGTAGGAAAAGAAGTTATGAAACATGTTGGTTTATGGAGTTTACCAGTGCTTGTCGAGCTATTCAAACAGATGCTTTTCATATTGACAAACTGCTTTTCATATTGCTTTGACATTGCTTGCACTGCATTTCAAATCATAGCAACAGAATTTGACACCCCCACACTTGCAGTTGATACAAAAATATAGTACCTACAGTACTTTCTTTCTTATTTGAATTATATTAGTGTACATTAGGCTCACCTTGAAAGTCTCATATTGAACTCTCAGGGTCCTCGCATGCTATAAATGCAAGCCCCCACATTTTCTTCTATAAAACATATTTCTCTCATCTATAATGTTCTTAATACCTTTGGCATGGTTCCATTTGGTGGCTGTGCTTGTCCTCTGTGCTCCCATGGCTCTCCTCTACAGTCTCAGGTGAACTGGTAGGGGTTGGGGAAAGGTGACACGGGGGCAGGCGTCCATTAGTAGGCTCCATGCTGCCTCGGCCGCTGCTGGCATAACTGCTGTAGTTGCTCCCAGACTCCAGCGCTCCATTGTAGCCTCCTGCCTCCACTTCCAGTGTGTCTTGATCATTGTCATCATATGGTAAGCATCTGGAAGCTTCTATCATGGCCTCCAAGCAACTTTCTGCCTCTTTCATGGCCTCCTGGTGGTAGGTGGTTGGCCATTTGGCAGGACTTGGAAAGATGGATGGCCCTCTTCTTGGCTTAGAGTGGGAAGTTAAGTCACGAATTGATAAAGGCCTGTCTGGACTGCTCCTTGGATATAAAGGGTCCACAGCGGGAGATGAGTTGGAGGCAGCTTGGCTAGCAGAAGGAGAATTTGCAGGAGATTTGGAGATCTTCCTGAGAGGAAAACTCTGAGGCTCTCTGACCAGAGTGATTGGATTGGAGGAAGATGCAACAGAGCAGTTCTCTTGGCTGAGTGAGTCTATCCATGCTTCAGGAGTCAGGAAATTGCTCTTTTTCTGTTTCCTTGAGTCTAGGCTCTGACTTCGCTGCTTAGAGTCCCAGATTTTAGAGCCTTGGGTCACAGGTCTCCAGAGTTCTGGTTCTGTAGGTTGTGGAGAAGCTTGGAACCTCATAATATTGTCCACTGATGCAGGACTATGGCAGTTAAAGCTTGTGCTCCTCCTGATGTCATCATACCGACCTCTGCGAGTCAGCGAGCGCCCTTGTTGCACATGAGAGGCAATTCTCTGATGCAGCATTGGTCTTGTAGGCCGCATTACACACACCTCCAACTCTGGCTCATCTACACTCATCTCAACACACATATCTTCAGCAGCAGGCTCACCGAACACTACCTCTGCTTTTGAAGAGTCTGGCACTGCACTGAGAGTTGAGTTAGATCTTTCAGTATATTTAGTGCTATGGAAAGACAACGTTGAAAGGCTGTCATGACTAAAACTGTTCTTTCTTGGTACCTCAGAGCATGAATTATTTATATGCATTTCTAACACTGTGGATGGTGGTGAATTATCATAGTCCTCTGGTGCAGCCTCTAACCTCTCATGTCTCTGGTGCATTGAGGAGAAGTGTGGGAGAGTTAATGTGTTTTTGTCTACTTCCTCAGATTGATGGGGGGCCTGTTTGATGAAGGATGGAACAAGATGATAGTTGCCAGAATTAAAAGGAGGACTTGTAGGTGAAGATGGACTGAAATGGGTCCTAGTAGGGTTGAGAGTGGGAGCAGAGTCATGAGGATGGGCTTCCCAGTGGACAGAGGATGAAGAGTAAGGATTTGGGGACATACCAAAGTTCTCCTTTCTGTCCTGGGGGTATCTGTGTGGCAAAGTGCTGCTCTTATATTCCCAAACAAACTCTCTTGTCTCCATATCTGGTTGTTCTTTCTTAATTTCCCTTGTGGAGCCTCTTTCCAGACTGTACCTTCTGAGCTCCCTCTCTAGCTCCTCCCTCTCCTGAGCCAGTTTCAGGCAGCGACTTAGGTTCCCTCTCTCCCGCTCATGCTCCATTTGGAGCACCAGGGTGCTCGCGGTTGTAGACAGTTTACCAAGGCCTGATCTGATATGTGGGAGCACTGGAAACGTGGGAGTTAGTTCTCGGACCTGATTAGAAATGGTAGTCAAACTGCTGTTTGAGCACATGCTGCTGAGCTCAGGAAAGCCACTGTATCTTTCTTTCTGATCCAAGATATATGAATCATAATGGTGCAGCTGCTGAAATGGTTGGCAAGGTGGGAGCTCAACAGAGAGCACGTATGCTGGCTCTTTCCTATCTTCTCTCTCAGAGTACAGTGACACCGACCTTCGGACTCTAGTAGGTTGGTCATACCTTATGCTTTTCTTGCTGTGAACACTCAGTATGTCATCTTCATATGGTGGGAGTACAAAGCGACCATCTGGACCTCTAGAGATCAACTCAATTGGAGGTGAAATTGGAGAAGAAACTGTCCTTGTAAGTCGACCTTTGCTGTAGTTGGATGGGAGAGTCTTCTGCCAATGATAATTCTCAGTGCTAAAGGAGGAACAGTCTGTCTGCAAGGAGGAGGTGGTGGTGGTAGAGGAAGTGGTGGGATAGAGGGTGCTGGCTGGAAGCAGGTTTTTCTTCAACACACTGTCTGGACTGCTGGTGCCTGAAATCTTTCTGTGGGAGACAGAGAGAGAAAAAGGGGGAGGGAGGGCTGGATGAAGAAAATTCTAAGAAAAACCGGAGGTGTATGAGGAAGAGAAATAGACACTGAGAACTTGAGATTGAGTGAGAGTCATAGAAGGAGAAAGGGTGGATGGGATGTAGACAGAGAGAGACCAGAACAGCAGCAGCAGTAGATAAAGATGGGGAAGAAAAAGAAGATATGAAAGCATGTTCAACAGATTTTAGTTTGTAAGGAAAGTGGAGCGAAAAGGTCAGTGGGAGGTTATTCTAATGAAATGATAAAAAGGTACTTACATAGATGGGGAACATTTATAGATGGCAGGAGGAGGCTCTGAAAGGGAGGGAGAGGGGCAAGATGGTATCTGACTCATTAGGATACAACCATAATAACCAAGAAGCAAAAACATAATCAGCCATAATAAGAGCCCATTAAAAGGCCCAAGGCACACAGGCTTGTCCAAAAAGTTAATTACACTTACATTTATCAGCCACTAATGAGAAATCACCCTAATTAGCAAGTAATGTAAATGACATCAATAACTTGTACAACTGAATGGATGAGTGGGGGACAAAGGAGCACCAAATCCATGCAGTGGAGTATGATTTATATAATGGATTGGAAATGCCATCAATATTTTATTGAATAATTGATGAAATTCTTGATGCAGTTCATCAAAGTGAGTGTCTGCTGTGTCTCTGGAGTGAGGGGTGTTTTACCATCCTTCTTCTTTCTGCGCCGCTTATTCCTCCTGTGGCTGATGACACAGGCAGAGCCCAGCAGCAAGACCAGTGCCAAGCACATGAAGGCAGCCCCGCCCAGCACACCAGTCAGTAATGGCTCTGGGACAAACTCCAGGAGTCGGGATGTGGCAGGGTACATCTCCATCCCTGTGACATCATTTCATCAATGATAGCATATATAAATAAAAAGGTGAGTGACTGTAGAGTCAGCTATAACCATAAAGAACTACACATACACAAACAACACACACTTGAAAACAATACCAAGACAGCACTATGACAATAAAGATCAGTTCAAAAACACATAATTCTTCTTATTTTACATCATTCTATACAGTACATTTATTTTAATATGTGGATGTTGATTTTTTCATCAATAATTCATTCAATTTTTCATATATTTCAATTATGTTTAAAAACTATACATATTTCAAATAACAATACAACATGATAAAATAAAGTACAGATTTTAGACCTTTGTATTTTAAAAATTAAAGTATAAAGCAATATTTCATGAATTTTCATGATTATACAAAATGTTTTATTTGTTTTTTTTTTGTTTTGTTTTGTTTTGCAGTACATGCATGTTTCAACCCACCAGTGAGTTACAACTACAGTAAAAGACATTCACAAAAAAAAAAAAAATCAAAAACCTCTGCATGATTTCATATTAAGTGGATCTAATCTATGCCCCTGGTGATCATAATCATCAAAATATAAATCTAATCACTGGTTCAGAGGTCAAACTGAGATTATGTTTAACACTTTACAATAAATTTCACAATCTATCTGACCGTTGCAACAATCCTTGTGTGACAAGTGGGAGTTGTAGATATACCCTCGTTTGATTTACCACATCCAATGAAACATTAATGTCAAATTCACATAAGAATCAGACAAGACAAGTCCAAATCGCTAACTCTGTTCAGACATTATTAGCGGAGCTATTTCTATCATTCGGGCTTCTAATGGACAGCTTTCCCTGGGGCTCTGCTCTAATTTTGGTCTAACACTGTGAACAAAGGGATGAGGGATAAAGAAAGAGAGAAGAGTAAGAACAGAGAGAAGACTGGTTGAAACAGAGGGTGGGGAGAGAACGTGAAGAGGGCAAGGTTGCTCTCCAACACCTACCCATGGTGGAGACATTGACTGATGGACTGGGCTCGCTCAGCAACTCCCCGCGACGAGATAGCAGCCGCAGCTCGTACAAACAGTCCTGAGACCAGCATCCACACACACACACACAGTGGGGGAGGACAGAGGATGAAACCACACTTTGTCAACACAGGACTGTGTCTGCAATGCTAATGACGTTCATTTGAATTCGTGTAGGCCTGTATAAGTGAGGGAAAAGGAGCATGAAACGGGATGAAGGAAGAAAGGGCAACACTCACAGACTGAAAGATGACAGTACAATCATGGCTGCCATGTAGTGTGCAAAAAGGACTCTCTTCAAAAGTAAAACCACTGAAGTATAGCCTAGATAAAAATCTCTGAGGCATTCAACATGCAGTGTGCACTGATTAGTCTCAGAGGGAACAACACGACTGGCTTGTTACCTTGTGCAGACCCGGAACAACTATCTTGCTACTGTTGGCAGTGATGTCCTCGACCAAATTAAACCACTCCCCTTGCTCAGTGCGAGATTGGAGAACAAAGCCTGTGATGGGAGGGTGCTGAGCATCAGGAAGGTACCACTGCAGAACAACACCTGCTGAGCTCTGATTAGCTGACAGTGATGCAGGAGCCTTTAGTTTACTTCTTCGCAGTGGAGCATCTGATAGAGAGGGAATAAGAAAGACTTTAAATCGATGAGCCAAATATGTTGTGGTAGACATAATTAAATTAGGCCTCAAGAAACTGCTACTGCCACTGATGTTCAACCTTTTATTTGATTTCAGCTCTAATAGCAATATTTCAGAAACATTTATTAATACTGTAATTGTAATAGTTGCAATATACCATGGTATTTTTGACAACAATAATCATAGCATGAATATTTGATTTGGGCACGTCCTTACTGCTTTATTGAAGCAGCATACTTACTTTAGCACACCTTGTTATTCACAAGCCACTTTTAAGACTATTAAGTTGATAAGTTTGATGATGATATTGATGCCAATTGATAGAAAAAAGTTGAACTGCAATACTCCAACTACTTAATGAGACGTGCATGAGGAGACCTCAAAACAGTTGTGTCTTCAAAGGTATTTTCTTAGACAACTTTCTGATTCTTTACACAGAATGATAAGATGTTTCCAAGGGTAAAATCAACATTTCAGTATGCAATCCACTGCCCTGACTTACATTGGCTGCAGCCGAGGACTAAACATACATATATGTGCTAAACACCCAGCTATGTCCTTGATGAAAAATTTGATCAATCCAGGAAGACTGAAGAAGTAATTACAGAGTGCAGCTGAGGTTTGGGAATGTCTTTATCAGATTTTGTTGATAAACCAACGTTCTGGGTGAATTTAACTGCAGTGCATCCAATAAATGACAGTACAGCAGTGTACAGCTGCTACATGAAAAAAAAAAAAGATTTGCTCAGTACCTCGTGAAACAAGAAAGGTTTCTTGTTGTAATAAGATACTTCTCCATTTTACAAGATACTTTTCATATTAAAATATGATTTTTTCACATTATAAAGAGATACTGTATTTTCTCATCATAACAACAAACAAATATTGTGGATTTATGTGTCAAATCAGTGATTCTCAAGGACTGGCACCCACATCCTAAGCCTAGTGCTGGTCACTGTGTGGAAAATTGGTGTCTTGAAAAAGGAGAACATGGGCCATTATGGGATATGAAATACTCTAGCACATACATTTATCACAGTTGGTATGTGTGTTGATGAGAGCGGGAGCTGCTGAAAAGGTGCTCCAGCTGGTGCCGTGCACGATGCTCCCGCAACGGGCATGCAATGCTTGGCAGGCAGAACTCGGCATAACACTGGTCCTTGAGAATAACTGTGGAAATGATCCGCTCTCAAGTGTGTGTTATCACATTAGATTACACATTAGATCACGCACAGCACTGGCTGGAGCACCCCTCCAGTGGCTTCTCTCTCATCAGCACTCATACCAACCTTCCACACAATGACCAGCTCATGAGCCATGATACCCTGCACATGTCCTGATCTTGTTACAAGCAACAACAGGTAGAGTCAGTCCGTGCACTGCTGTCACTCATTAAAAGCTGTGCCAGCTCATATTAGGGTGTAGAAGTGACATGAACCTTCCTTGAGTGCGTGTTATAATATTAGATGGTTCTTTGTCATAAATTTGAAACTATATTTCACTTAAGTTATCATTATTATGAGAAAATACGTATGTCGTTATGACAAAAAAATATAGTATCTCATTTTAACAAGAAAAGTTCTTGTAACATTAGAAAGTGTCTCATTGTAACGAGAATCTTTTCTGGTTATTAATGAGATACTGAGCAAATATTTTTTCTCAGGGTGGCAGCAGTATCAGAGACAGTATATTTCTGTAATGTGTATTTATAAAGATGGCCGGTTAATAAACAATTTACACCTACAGTATTTTAACAATTTAGACTGTATGAAAGCTCCATTGGTGTGATCCCTGTATCCCAGCCTATGCACAACTCTTATCGCTCTTTTTTGTAATATATACAATGGTTGAAGTGAGCTTGTGTATGTATTTCCCCAGTTCTCAACGCCATACTCCAAGTATGGCAAAATCAATGAAGAATACAAAATACGTAGTGCTTTTATGTCCAAAATATGTCTGACCCTCGCCAATATCGATATGTTTTTTGCTATTTTATGCTGAACATATCTGATATGAGATTTCCAGGTGAATTTATCATCCACCATAACACCTAGAAATTTAATTTCATATACTCGTTCTATACTGGCTCCCCCTATTTTCACTTGCAGTTCGTTATCTAGTCTGCGATTCCCAAATACCATAAATTTAGTTTTATCCATATTCATGGACAGCATATTACTATCACACCATTTCTTTATCTTCTCAAGTTCCTGTGAAACCCGTCCCGAGAGTTGCTGTGGGTTATCCCCGGATGCCCATATCGCAGTGACCATTTTCACAAAAGCCAAAATCTTACACATGTCGTTAATGTATAATATGAATAATTTCGGTCCCAAGACTGAACCTTGAGGCACCCCACATACAATGTCCAGTTCACTCGACTGATTAGTGACATTAGTGACAGCAGGTAAAGTCAGAATGTTTGCTGAAAGCTGTGCCGGCTCACATTAGGAGTAGAAGTGATATGATCCTTTCTTGAGTGTGTGTTATAATATTAGATGGTTCTTCTGGCCACAAATTTGAACTACATTTCACTAAAGTTATCATTATTGTGAGAAAATACAGTATCTCACTATGAGAGAAACTTTTCTCGTTACAATGAGATACTGAGCTTTTTTTTTTCTCAGGATGGCAGCAATATGCTTCTATATGACAGATTGAGTGAGACACTTCACTCAAAATCACAACTGTCAACCTCATGTTTGTTATTAGAAAACACTGTCTGGGAACCATGAAGCTTTTCAGCCTATCCATAAAAAGCAGACGATATTTTACAGCATTAGTGAACATTATGGCCTGCTGGTAGCGCTAGATAAAAAGTCAGAGGTTCACTAAAAACTAGACATACCCCAATCTGATAGCAAGTATCGGTATCAGCGCCGATCCAGACACATTTCACAGGATTGGTATCAGCCAGAATAAAGCCAATCCATTTCAGATCATTAGGCTATTTATAACTATAGTCTATTTTTAGCTTCAAGTCTATTTTTTCAAAACTAGATGCATAAAATGGTCCACAGAATCCACCAAAACAATGAAAGCTCACGAGTTCCAAACAAAACTCCACCAAAAATAGAGAAATACATCAGGTACACCCAGTTAAAACACACGATCTATCATCTATTACATGTTCATACTGAACCTGGCATCGTGTGTTAGTTTGTATTTGCTGGGTTTTACCATGGGATGGACACACTGTACATATACTGTACATGCAAGTGTAGCCAGTAATTCCCTCACTGTCTATTATTTGTCAGAGTTATGGACTGTAGTCTTCCCTTTTCCAAAGTGTTTCTGGAGCCTCCTCCAGGCATTTTTGTACACCAACTGCTTCCTATGTGTGAGTTAACATGGGTCCGGTATAGACATGAGCACGAGCCTCCTGCAATGTGCACACAAGATGTTACGGGCTGCACACATTGTGCTTTTGATGTAGACATGGAGAGTTCTGTGCTTTTGTCCAGTGGTGCTACAACAGCCGTGACCTTTTGTTAATTCAGTGTTATTAAACTGTCAAACAGCAATATCTAAACTGGCCTGGTTACACAAACTGTGTTCACACAGGGATAAGAAGTAGTAGTCAGTAACTGTTCTGTAATGAATCTGTAGTTTTCACAGTGTGCTGTCCACCTCCCATTATTCTTTTATTCACATCAATCATTTAAGATAATAGACTAAAAATTTTGGAACCAGAACCTGATCCAGTATTTGGATTAAGAAGTTCCTGAAAAATACTGTGTGCCAGATTAATTTAAATTTCAATACGTCAGATATATCAGGAACATTTACTGTAGGTAAATACAGGCCTAAGTATTGGTTTGTGATCTGTATCAGCAGAATGTATTGGTACTGGGGCCAAAAAAAAAAAGCAGATCAGAACATCTCTACCACAGACATTAGGATTTATCGTCTGGGCACCACTGCAAAATTTCAAGGAAATCCTTTCAGGCTGAGATATGTCGGTTTGGACCAAAGTGATGAAACAGTGAACAGGTAATTGAGTAATAAAGCTGGTCATGGATGAAGCTATCTGAGGAGTCTCCTCATGATCATAAGTTAATATGTGTGGTGTTTCCTTCTCAAACAAGCAATCTTCAGCTGAGTACAGACACCAGTTTGTAACTAGCAGATCAACCACACAACAGCCAAACTTCATTTTGGCCCTTGGTCAAGTTACTCACAGAATTAACTTTAATTATCTACAGCTGATATAATCTGCTCCTGGCAACATTTGTCATTTCAACTGATGAAGCTGTCAGTTGGCACCAGCTAAAAATGAAAAGTTTGCTATGCTAACTGCTGATATTTGTTAGCTTCAAATCTCAGTGAGCACTTTGCAAAACTGCAGCTGGATACAAAATGGAACAGGCTGTTGGAAACAAATGCATTTAGAACAAATTGGGGGGTGGTACTGACCCAAGGTCCATGCGATGGCAATCTCACTGAAGGGTCCTGTGCCCATTTTATTGTGAGACAGGATGCTGAACTGGTATTTGGCAGCAGGAGACAGGCCTGTCACCTGCAGCCTAGTGCCAGAGGAGGGGGGCACAGAGACAGAAAACCAGTCCCGTTTTCCATCGCTATCACTGGCAGAGATCTTTTTCACCCTACAGAGGGAGAGAGACCAAAAGAAAAGAAGTGAGAACAAAAGAGTGGCGGTGAATTCTGGCAGTGTGGTTTTATGAAACATGACAGAAAAGTAGGTTTCATTAATCATTCATTCCCCTCCATCAGCTCCAGATTTTGTGGCAGGGACAGTACTCATGTATCCTTGCTATTGCACAGAGAATCTGCACCTCCAATTATGACATTTTCATGCTCCTACTGGAGCTGACGTTCGACACATCTGTTTTATATGGAGCAAATTACCTGACCCTGAAGCAAATTTTTAACAGAAATTCTATTCAAAACTGAAAGAACCTTTGAAAATGATTGTCAGTCTGAAATTAAGGCCTTTTTTAGTTTCTGAAAATGCCATCTTTGGCTCAACAAAAGCACTTTCTTCTTTTATGATAAAACAGATAAGAGAATGCATTGTCTTCCAGAAACTCACCTAAATTCAGCATAGATGTTGTGTGTTATTGTGGAGCATAAAGCAAAATATAAGAGCAAACTTAGTTAATTTTACAAGAACAAAAGAAGATCTATGGGTGCTTTTGCTTTTCAGTAGCAGTTGGTTTTGCCTTTACAACTGTCAGACGAATGCATAGTTGTTAAAATTTTATTTGTTGAAATTCACAATGTGCTAACAATACCTTTCTGCTGTCATCTTCAGGCATTAATGTAGTTAAAATGTCAATGGGAAACCATAAAGTTCTTACAGTAGGTCTAAAGAAAAAGCAAAAACGCGTGAATTCACCTCATAATCTTTGGTCATAACTTGTCACAACAGGGAGTACTGTAGCTGACACTTTATTGATTGGTTATACTGATTCACTTAAGTAAAATAACCTGCTTTTTAAGACATTGTACCCATGCAGTATAATTGTATACAAAGATGTTTTTAGTACGCCTCATGCTGTGAAAGTTGGATACATCAATAGCATATGTTTCTGGTTCATTTGTATCCAACTGCCTCCAGTTTTACATTCTTTTTATCTTGCCTGTCACTCTGTTTTAATTCACCAGAGGCATATCTAAAAAAAAAACTAAAAAAAACGGACACTTCATGCAAACTTCAAAGTGCTAAGTAACAAGTGCATTACACTCTCTTTTGGCAGTAACCTTCTATTGCAGCTAGCATGGCCGCTGCATTATAAAGTTATGCACTGCAGCAACATTTTTTCATTGTTTCTGCCAAGAAATGATAACAGATAAATGAATTCCTCATCCTAGCGATCAATAGAGTAATACCAGTGCTGTCGATGGCTGCCATGGTTACAGCCCTAGAATAAAGTGGGAGGCTTTACACCCACCAAACTGAAAATGTCTGTGCTGATCCTCCATCAAAGCCTGCTTCCCAGGATATGTTGGCCTGTTTCACCCCTGGAGAGATGGACAGAGAGGTAGCCGCATGGGGACTAGTTCCTGTAATGAGGGAACAGAGAGAAGCTGGTGGAAATTGGCCAGCATTTCAACTTCGTGATACCACTGAAGTTTAGAGGCCATCTCTACTGTCTTTAAATGTACCACATTTATCCATTGGAGGCGGAGTGGAGGCACAGGCATCCAGCTTGTGTATAATAGTGGTGTGCATACAGAAAACAATTTGAAAAAGCTCATGTAATAGCAACAACTAACTTCTGTTGCTGTATTCTCAGATAGGAATCCTCCTGTTTGGACTCACCCAGGACAAAGACTTGTGTGCTGGCCTGCACAGATGCCACACGGTTAGTAGCGGTGCACTCCCATGCCCCCTGGTGGTCCTTAGCAAGTGGCTGCAGCAGCAGAGAACCATTGGGTTCTATGGAGTAAGAAACACGAGGAGCCAAGCCAACCTACCAAAAACACAGAGACCATTGACACATGGAACAAAACTGCATATGCCTAAATATACACTATAAACTGGTGGATGGAGAACAAGAAGTGAGCCAACACAAGTCAGAAAAATTCATTCGTATATGTACTAAAAATATTATTGCAGTTATCATTATCAAGGTAAACTGCCAATTTGTTGCGATATACTGTAGGTCATATTGTCCAGCTATAATATACAGTGCAAAAGTATTATTACAGTGATATGTTTTGTTCCCGTTTTATTTTTTTTAATGGCTCTGCTCTCCAGTTGACAGAAAGTGAATGAAATAATACATATGAAGTTAAACAGTAACTAAAAACTAAATCAGCGTTTTTGAGTTAGTTTAGTTATACTGTAGTTAGAAAGTTATTTCATTATAGAATATGTACAGTCACATATAATACTATTAATGGATTCTGGCCTCAGTCTATAGTGTTCAAGCTAAATGTGGGTGTTAAGTTAGAAAGGTTAGTTCCTTTTGTAATATATTGCATTTAAGAGTGAAACTCAGTAGAGGGGTATAATTAAGAGCTGGATTTGATTAAATTCTTCACATTTGATTGGAGCACTCCAACATGGGTTTATCAAATACAGTGTGATGAACAAATGAATAAATTAAGCCTTAACCATGTTCCTCTGGAATTGTTTTTCAGCTGACACACATCTCCTACAGGTCCTCTCTCTGCTACTGTACGGCCCACCGGCTAATGGTCAACTTGGAGTTTTACTGTACATGACTGACGGGGCGAACATTTTGCCTGAAATCCCATTTAACTGGATTCACAGATTTTGATTTTTTGCTATAAACTTGGCTTGGAAACATAAAAAATGCATTTTTTGAATGTAACAAACAATAGCTTCCCCTATATTCTGAAGTTCTCTCCTGGTTTCGTACTGTACAGTACAGCAGGACAATCATAAAACAATAAAAGCAAAACATCAAATTGTCAATATCCTGATATATCCAAATTGCACCATATGTGCAGGTACTGTATGTGTGCAAGTTACTGTACCTATGTAAAAGTGCATGTCTGTGTTACATTAGCATTAGCTAAATTCAACAGAAACATAATGCACAAAATAGAATGTACTTGTAAACAAAGTGAATCACCTGTACATAGGTACAGTATTTACCTTGCTCCAGGTGACTTTAATTGTTGGGTCCTTATTTCCTTGACAGGGGATGAGAAGGGTTCTACCCACCTCCTGTTTGTACTGCTTCTCTGGAGTGATGCTGAATGCTGGGGGATCCTGCAAATGCCAAAGCAATATAGCTGAATCAAGGAGATTGCAGAAATGCCAACAGTGGCTTTTAAGACAGGATTACTTCTGCTTTGGACACAATTATCTTAATAACAAAAGGATTAGCCACACAATTAACTCCCCAGTAGTGTCGTCACTGTAGTGTATCTGAGTTAACTTGGGTTAATGCCAGAGGGCTCAACTGCTTGAGTGAAAAGGTCCAAAAATTTTGTTTTTGATAAATTTTTAATCTACTGTGACAGATGCTGTTGTGCTGATTAAAATACAGGCACAGTGGTGTAGACAAACAATTTAGCACAATGGGGACAGATTCAGTGGTAGTTTGTGATATGACTGATCAAAAATGTGGTGTTTATATTGCAGACCGTGTAATGTGTGGTATCTCTCCACTGGGTGACCCAGCTAGATGCTCACTAACCTGTAAAATTACATAGGTTGGCCCAGATGAACCCATACTGCCATAGCTGTTGCGGGGGGTACACGTGTACATGCCTGCTGCATCGTCATTAACTGTGGCCATGAACAAAGAACCCTCTGATGTCAAGCTCCATCCTGGATACTTGAAGGAAAGCACAGAAATCACTGTAAATGTAAAATGAGCTTTTGTTCCTTCGTTTACAAAGCCTTTTCTGTATATCCCTCTCATCATTTCTGTGGTGACTCCAAACACAGGTGATAGAAATGCTCTGCAGAGCTTTCAAAAATCACTTTTTGAAGGATTTCACCCCTTTTACTTTTAGTTACAGTTCTGAGTCCCTTTTTCCCATTAAGCCACAGTAGAATGCTTGTGTTGTGGTTTGACTGCACAGAAGGTCTCCACTCATTTTAATGAAGGCAAAACTGCTATTATCCTCGCTAAATTGAGGCTATGAAAAAGTATTACTGTAGGTATGAGATTTTGTGACATTCAGGGTAAAATTGGAATAATTGGCAGAATAACAGTCTGACTCCAGTGCTCGTGTCCCACATTACAGGAATCTATCACATTTCCTGTGGTGCGCCTCAACTGCCGACATGACAGGCGCTCAGACCAAAGTATTTCGGGGGGTGCATGTGAAGAGGAGAGGGTGAGGAAGTGGGTGAATCTTTATCATTTTCATGCAAAACAATGGAAATGGTTTTAAAAGCTGCCACCCTGGGCTCTTATTTAAAAAAAAAATGCAAATCTCATATACTGCTCTTAAAGGTAGGGTTGGCAATTCTTTTCGGAAGCATTTTTTGTTGCATATCTTGAACTTGTCTTCCATCCTGATGGCACTGAATACATTAAATGCATTGAAAACATAAAGAATCAAATCTGTAATCTCTGGCAGTAGCAGGGCTTAAAAAAGCCTGACCAATAATTTTACTCTGCATGAGTTAAACCATTGGCTAGCCTCCCTGCCTGTCAATCTACTTCCTAGTTGTGCACACCCTGTCCTTGCACAGGCCAAGAGTCTCCCATAAGGCATTTCAATGGCACGCAGACATGTTACTGCTCTGTTTTACACCTAAAATTAGCAAGCTATGGCAGAGAAGGTACCCACAGCAGTTTTTGATCGCAAACAGAGACTGTTATTACAAGCCAGGCCTTCCCCTTTAAGACATAAAGCCTTATAGGAAATGTTGTTGTTGTTGTTGTTGCCAAAAGTTGCAACCTGCAGTGTGCACAGTATGAGAGCGAGAAGACCGCTGCACGAAACAGACTCCTTATACACACAGTCTGCTCTAAGGGTATAAATAGGATTGTAATGCAGTTAACTGGGTATCAGAGGCCACATGCAGTATTTGTGTTACCAAGTTGAATAAAGTAAATAAAGTGTTTTGAACGCCGTTAGCTGGCCTGCCTCTTCACTTGGTGGCCGTATTTCTCCTGGACAGGTAATTATGAGTTTTTGTTTTGTTTGAGGGACATTTGTTATTTTTCTAGAATCAGTAGGAGTCAGGCAGTGCATGTTATGTTTTGGAGGAGTGGCTTTGGAGAGAAGTCAGGGCAAAATGAGGGGATTTCTTCAGTTGTCTACTTTCAAAATCAAACTTTCTCTTGTTGTTTTTTTTATGAGAAGACAAAGGTTACAAAATGTTGGGATGTCCCACTACTTGGCCTGTATCTATAATGGTTGAAGTAAAAGTGAAAAAAATGAGAGAACAAGGGGCAGTAAGGAGTCTCTGTGGATTGCTTCAGATGCTTTTAATCTTGAACACATCCATTAAGATATTGTTATGTGCCGTTCGCACCTGTCAGTGAGCGAACGAGAAAGAGGCGGACCCAGGTAGCCGACTTCGGTGCAAGCAGTGATTTATTATGTACAGTGATGATGAGAGTAACAATACACAGAGGGAAATAGTGCGTAGTCCTGTCGATGAGTAATAGCCGGGTGTTTGACCAACAGCGGGAGGCGAGGAGATGGAGAGCCGGGCCGAGCTGCATAGGCTGGGTCACTCCTGGGCTGGTCGGTGGTGATGGTGGCTACTGAAGGTAGAGACAGAGAGATGAAGGCAATAGTGGAACAGATAGGCGACTGAGCATTGACCTGCCTGGGAGGGGAGAGTGGAGCCACGGTCCGGAGGGACAGTCCATGGGGGGAACACAAAACAGTAGCTGGCTAGGGGATAAATACATACAAAAACGAAAGAGCACGGAGAAAAAATGGCCTAGAGACAAGAACGAACTGGCAAGTGACTGAGGTGTCGAGAAAGGCAGGATCCAGAATAAGGATCCGGGGAATCTAGGACCGTTCCTCCGGACAGTAAGCCTCCCAATCCACCAGATATTGGAAACCCCGGCCCCTGGGGCGGACATCCAGGATCTGACGTACTG